CGGAAGGCCCTCTTCAGCCTGCTTTCAGGAATCGTGGGAATGGGTGGGTGGTGGTTCGGGTGAGAAAGATGAGACGGACGAAATGAAGACAGAAGAGACTGAAAGATTATCTGTGGAATATTACTGCCTCAGCATTCGCCTAAGTGATCCAAGGAAACCACAGAAAAACTTGGACCAAGGCAGACGGACAGACCCGGAATCGAACCGGCGTCCTCCCGAATGCTAAGCAATGGTCTAGACCTCTGCAGCGGGGAAGATAAACTACTACCTAAATACGAATTATCTACGTAGTGCAGAAAGAAAATATTTTATTAATTTAGATCTGTAATTTTCGTAGAAAAGACCAAAATTTTATACTTAAGTAGGTAACTGTATTCTTACTGTTGAAAATAGCCTTTTTAATAGTTGCTTTCTTTTAATTTTTCCTGGACAACATTTACAGCATATAGGACACACGTTTTCTGGAGCATCTTTAATTCCAGAAATTTCGTAAGTCAGTTTTCCTCCTTTTGCTATTCCACGTACTCCCGTAATCTGATATGTTCTTCCATCACTGGGAAGTTCTGGCAGATTCTTTATACGCTCTTCCTCGTCTCTTATCTTCACAAAAAGTTTTTCATCTGTTATTATTTCATGCAAGAGTGTAATTGAATTTGAATACCTCGAATGGGGTGGGTCCCCACTTCCCATCAGTTCGGTTCTTGTTGTCCTCTTCGTATTCTTGAAGATATAGACAAACGTCTTTTTTCATTTTTTTCAAATATTCTGCATACAGGTCTAAACATAGTGTATGTCTTTCTGAATATTCTCGAAATATTTCCATACATTCACAGTCGGCTGAATGAAGAGTACCGCCAATGCTATAAACTGTTCCTTCCGGAGTTTGATGAACACCCGTAATGTAATACTTCCTTCCATCAGAGGGTAAATGAGGCATGTTGGATAATCTCTTTTCTTCTTCTTCCATCAGTTTTACAATTTCAAGACAAGGACAAGGGTTTTGAACAACTCCAGCGAGTTGATATACCGGTTTGCCGTCAGGACCAACCGAAACACCGGTAACAACGAAGGGTTTTTTCATACTCATCAGTTTAATTTGTGCCCTTAACCTACATTTTAAATCTTCGAATTTTTGAATGGCGTGCTCGTAATTTCTGAGACAAGCGCACTGCTCGAATTCCTTAACAGCTTCTATTATTCTCAAACCGTCTTCGCCCAAGTGCTCCTTTCTCGTACCGGATATCACCTTGGTGGCCTTTTTTGCCAACCAAGCTTCTCGATCCTTCTGACAGCGCTCGCACGGACAAAAAACATTTTCAACTTTTTCTTTTACCCCTTCCTTGCAAGTGCACATTTCAGACTCGGTCTCATCCGGTCGAATAAGTTCAGATTCACGAATCTCTAAATCGCATATTTCCGGTGTTGGAATTGGCTTTTTGGTTTTGAATTCGTACGGTGGTATTCGTAAGGCCTCTTTTTCGAAATCAGCAAAACATCCGCAATCACATACAAGACCTACGAAGTTTAGTAACAATTCAACCATTTAACTTAATCATTTTTTAATTCAGAAAAAAGCAAAGTATATGCATATAAATAATAATACACGATTACTTTAAATTTGTAATGTCATGATGTTCCCTGAACCTGAGAGCTATTAATTTAAGCAGTGACGATTTATAATTAGTAGCAGTTGAACTAATTAACCAATGAAAAAAATTGTTAAAATTTTTTGAAACATAAAAAACAATTTTGTTTATATTGTTTCATTGTTTTGAAACATTTCCTAATTTATACATAGATTATTAAATAAATAGCCCAATAATGACCTAAATCAGGCTCCTCTTCTTCTTCCTCTTCAAATCCCTCATCATCGTCTCCAGGGGGGTATAAATTTACATCAGTAGGCTCTGGAGCTGTTGTTTTTTCTCGGCTAGATCTGTGGCTGGTGCTGCGATGGGATTTTTGTGACACTGTAGTGGCCGCACTATTTGTGCCACAAGGAGTACTTCCCATTTTTGTGGAATCATCCTTAATTGTACTTACAGCTGTAGCTACGACGCGAACTTCCTTTGATTTTGGAAACTTCTTAACATCTTTCGCGGGGGGAGTCAATTTCTTTTTTTGTTTTTGTTTAGCGCTCTCAATCGCCACTGACCCAGCATGTTCTGATCGAGAATGAGTCACTAGATTACACGGGTAATAAATAGAAGGTTTCAAAAGAGGTGGTGCATTGCCATCTGCTGCCAACGCATTGTATTCTTCTTGGGCCATAGCCAATTCTTGTAGAATTTCCGTTTCTTTTTCCGCTAAATCTGGTGGTAAATCTAGAAGACCATAATCAAAACAAAAACACATTTGATTGCTTTTCAGTTTTGAAAATAAAGAGAGACGAAAGATTCGATAAACTTTGGAACGGAGAACAAGAAAACCAACTAAAGTTCTGTGGAACCGGACAACGTAAATATATAACATCGTTCCCTAAGGACAGCCGCAAATCTACGACCATTATTTGGACAAATCGAATTCGATTGGTTGCAATAGTTTTTGTTTACAACATCTTGCTGCGACAATTTATTGTCCAAAATATTCTAAAAAAAAATCAGTTCGACAAATCACTTCGTTGGTGAAAATACTTTTGCATATACACTGATCATTTGATAAAAGATAAATAAATCAAGCAGTGCTCAACATGTCCAAGTTATCAAAATGTAGTATAGGTTTGCGTCTGGCTTTTCACTATAGCTCTCTAACTGAAGATGACACGTTCGCTGTCAAAACGCGTATTAGTTTTCTAAATGTTTAATGTTGAAATTTTATTTTTTGTTTAGTTCAATTCCACAGAACTCCGTATGCTTTTTCTTGTACTTCATTTCAAAGTTTATGGAATTTTCGTTTCGTTTGACAGAGGAGAATAAACTATAATTACCAGGATATTTCGGCGGTTGATCTTCTGTATTAAGTTTCGGTCCTTTATCTTGTTCTGATAGTAATTTCAGTTTTTCTCTTTCTAATTTCTTAAATAAATAATAAGTACTCAGAAGTTAAGCTTAATTAATAAGCAGAAATATAATGTACTAGCCTAAATGGCCGAGTAAGAATTTACATATCATGCTGAGGAAATTTCGCGGAAATTTGTAAACATTACGGATTTAGAGCTTTGGAGAACATTCTGCAACATTTGATAAAATTTTCTCCAAACTTCCATAACTTTCACCTACTTCAAACTTCTCTTGAGCAGCCTATGTGTTAAAAAAAGTTTTCACCATTCACTCCTACTCAGAATCAGATATTCTCTTATTATCAACGGTAGGTCAAAGGCTACCTACCACCATAAACGTATGGGGAAGTACTCAGTTGTGGAGAATATTTGACGTACATATCAGAGACGTAGCCAGTTTTTTTTTTTTTTTGAATGAGCTAGGGACCACACCATTCTAAAGTTTTAATTACATATAAAATCTTGAGTTCCTTAAAATTACAATTTTATCTCACATAATCTTACATAACTCAAAAAATTGTGAGTTCCGTGGCAATATTAGTACATTACTCATCTGCATATATAGGTCGAGAATCTGCCACACCCTTTGACCAAGGACTCCATCTGGATAAGTAATATATATCCTTGGGTCATTAAAAAAAAACGCCGCATAATTTTGTACTAAGTAAAACATCTTTGGCATCTGAATGTTGCCTGTTTTCTTTATCTTATATAGAGTTAAGTCAATATTCAAGTTGGGTCAGTACCTATACCAGTCACAAGTTTCAATGCATGAGCCTTGGTTCACCCAGCTACGTCCCTGGTACACATACACATACTCATCTATTATATATTTATATTAATTTTAAGCACCTACACAATTTAATTTTACTTAAAAATAATTAAGCGTTTGCTTTTTCCTTCAATATTAAGGAATGTTACTCACAGATGTTTGGGAGGTACAATCGGAGACAAGAGTACATAAAATTAAAAATTCGTGATTAATTAGGTTTTGCAGCATATCATGAGGTAAATAAATACTATCTATACTAAAAAAAAGTATGCGGTTTGAGAGAAAATTTGGAATTTGACCAAAAACTTTGAATAAAATAAGAAATAACGAATAATATGGAAAATTTTTAACTGACTTTTGGCAGTGAATATGCCTTGATTTCAACTTCGAAACAAAAAAATATTTAGTTTCAATCTCTATTAATAATGAGCGTAAAACTTTTTAATATGTTTAAATAATAATTAAAACTTTAAAATTGCATTTATTTCAGACAATTATAAATATTATCATTATATTATCAAGTAAAAACGAGATTTTCAGCTAATTTTTCATTTTTTCCTCGATAACCATTTAGTGAATTTGAATAACCTTACGCTAAAGTGATTCTCCAGAGTTGCATTTATTTCAGACAATTATAAATATCATTATATTATCAAGTAAAAACGAGATTTTCAGTTAACTTTTCATTTTTTCCTCGATAACCATTCAGTGAATTTGAATAACCTTACGCTGAAGTGATTCTGCAGAGTTCAAGTTACTTATTATAAAAGTTTGAAATCTCTGGTAGCTTTTTTTCTGTTAATAAAAATAAATTTAATGTGTTCGGTTAACAAATCTCCCTAAAATGACGTGTAAAATTACAATTTTTTAAAATTTCAATAACTTCTTAACGGTTTAGTGAATCGATTTGTAATTTTTACAGGAGTTTTAGAATTGAATGAGGAACGTTCTTCCAAATTTTTATTTGTCTCGTAGCATTTTGACATACCTCCCAAACATCCTTAAA